GCGCCACAAACCGTGCCCATATGAGACAGCAAACTTAATCGATAAATGTTGTGTGTATTCCGACTGCTCCACAAACTGGCCATCCCCCTGTCTCTCTCCCTCTCCTCGGGCCTCCCTGAGACACGACAATATTGAAATTAGGCCAGTTAATAACCCTACAATGGCCTCAAAGTGTTCATGTGAAAGGAAGAGTCGCAAGTCTCTGACTTTAAACTAAAAGCTAGAAATGATTAAGCTTAGTGAGGAAGACATGTCGAAAGCAGAGAAAGGCTGAAAGCTAGGCCTCTTGCACCAAACAGTTATCCAAATTGTGAATGCAAAGGAAAAGTTCTTGAAGGAAATTACAAGTGCTACTCCAGTGAACACAAGAATGATAAGAAAGCGAAACAGCCTTACTGCTGATACAGAGAAAGTTTTAGTGATCTGGATAGAAGATCAAACCAGCCACAACATTCCCTTAAGCCAAACCTAATCCAGACAAAGGCCCTAACCCTTTGCCTTTGAGTCGATTCTGACTCATAGCAACACTATAGGACAGAGTAGAGCTGCCCATAGGGTTTCCAAGGAGTGGCTGGTGGATTAGAAAAGCCAACCTTTTGGTTAGCAGCCTGAGCTCTTAATCATTGAGCCACCAGGGCTCCAGAGCAAGGCTTCAATTCTTTTCAATTCTATGAAGGCTGAGAGAGGTGAGGAAGTTGCAGAAGAAAAGTTTGTAGCCAACAGAGGTTGGTTGATTAGGTTTAAGGAAAGAAGCTGACTCCATAACATAAAAGTGCAAGGCGAAGCAGCAAGTGCTGATGTAGAAGCTGCAGCAAGTTATCCAGAAGATCTAGCTAAGATAATTGAAGGTGGCTACAGTAAACAACAGATTTGCAGTGTAGACCAAACAGCCTTATATTGGAAGAAGATGCCATCTAGGACTTTCATAGCTAGAGAAGAGAAGTCAATGCCTGGCTTCAAAGCTTCAAAGGACAGGCTGATTCTCTTGTTAGGAGCTTATGCAGCTGGTGACTTTTAAGTTAAAGCCAATGCTCATTTACCATTCTGAAAATTTTAGGGAGCTTAAGAATCATGCTAAATCTACTCTGCCTGTGCTCTATAAATGGAACTACAAAGTCTGGATGACAACACATCTGTCTACAACATGGTTTACTGAATATTTTAATCCCACTGTTGAGACTTACTGCCCAGAAAAAAAGATTCCTTTCAAAATATTCTTGCTCGTTGACAATGCACCTTGTCACCCAAGAGCTCTAACGGAGATGTACAAGGAGATCAATGTTGTTTTCATGCCTGCTAACACAATATCCATTCTGCAGCTCATGGATCAAGGAATAATTTCGACTTTCAAATATTATTATTAAAGAAATACATTTTGTAAGGCTATAGCTGCGATAGATAGTGATTCCTCTGATAAACCCATTGCAGTTGAGTGAATTCTGACTCATAGCAACCCTGGAGGACAGAGTAGAACTGCCCCATAGAGTTTCCAAGGAGTGGCTGGTGGATTTGAACTGCTGACCTTTTGTTTAGCAGCCGAGTTCTTAACCACTGCACCACCAGGGCTCCGATTCCTCTGATGGATCTGGGCAAAGTAAATTGCAAACTTTCTGGAAAAGATTCACCATTCTAGATACCATTAAGAACATTAGTGATTCATGTGAGGAGGTCAAAATATCAACATTAACAGGAATTTGGAAGAAGTTGATTCCAACCCTCATGGGTGACTTTGAGGGGTTCAGGACTTCAGTGGAGGAAGTAACTGCAGATGTGATGGAAACAGCAAGAGAAATAGAATTAGAAGTGGAGCCTGGAGATGTAACTGAATTGCTGCAATCTCATGATAAAACTTTAACGGATGAGGAGCTGATTCTTATGGATGAACAAAGAAAGTGGTTTCTTGAGATAGAATCTACTCCTGGTGAAGATGCTGTGAACATTGTTGAAATGACAACAAAGGATTTAGGGTATTACATAAACTTAGTTGATAAAGCAGAGGCAGAGTTTGAGAGGCTTCACTCCAATTTTGAAAAGTTCTACTGTGAATAAAATGCTATCAGACAGCGTTGCATGCTACAGAGAAAACTTTCATGAAAGGAAGAATCAATCGATGCGACAAACTTCTTTGTTGTCTTATTTTAAGACATTGTCACAGCCACCCCAACTTTCAGCAACCACCACCCTGATCAGTCAGCAGCCATTAACATCTAGGTAAGACCCTTCACTAGCAAAAAGATTACGACTCACTGAAGGCGCAGATGATGGTTAGCATTTTTTAGCAATAAAGTACTTTTTAATTATGGTATGAGCATTGATTTTTTAGACATAATGCTATTGCACACTTAGAATACAGTATAGTGTAAACATTACTTTTATATGCACTGGGAAACTAAAATATTCGTGTGACTCGCATTATTGTGATATTTGCTTGATTGCAGTGGCCTGGAACTGAACCCCCAATATCTGAGGTATGCCTGTATGTATATATGAAGAGAGATTTATCTCAAGGAAATGGATCACTCTGTTGTGGAGGCTGACAAGTCCCAAAGTCCATGGGTCAGGCATCAGCTGGAGGCTTCTCCTGACTCATGTGGCTGCAGGGACTGACAAATCCAGAATCAGTAGGTCAGATGGCAAGCTCCCAACTCACAGGGCTGTGGAAGCCAGCGAATCCCAAAGTTGGCAGGTCAGGCAATAGGCTGCTGGCTCAAATCCCAAGAACTGGAGGTCAGACGCTGATGACCAGAAGCAGGATCCAGAGCAAGCAAGTGAGCTTTGCCAGAATATCCATCTATATATTGGGTGCAGGCCACACCCCCAGGGAAACTCCCTTTACAACTGATTGGCTGATCACATCAGATCACATCACAGAGATGATTACATTATATCACAAAATGGAGGACAATTACATCAGATCACAAAATGGAGGATAATTACATAATACTGAGAATCACGGCCTAGCCAAGTTGACACATAACATTAACTATCACAGTTCTCAAGAAAACAATGCTTCCACCAGGGGATATAGTAGTGGTTCCACTGAATTGAAAGATGGGACAGCCACCTGGTGGTTTCGGGCTCCTCAGGCCACTGAACCAAGGGGCAAGGAAGAGGATTATTCTATTTGATGGTGTTATTGATCTCAATTGCCAAAGGGAAATTGCGTTACTGTTACAAAGTGGGGCCAAGGAAGGTTATGTCTAGAACACAAGGCATTCACTGGATTCCTCTTAGAATTTGTGTCCGTAGCAAAAGCATCCAAAAAAAAAAGACAGGACTACTGAGGATTCAGGCCCTTCAGGAATGAAGGTTTGGCTTACGCCAGGTAAAGAAATGCCAGCCAGCTTAGGGCAAAGGAAACATGGAGTGAGTAATGGAAGAAGGAATTTCTACATATCAACTATGTCCTTGTGATCAATTACAGAAATAGGACTATTTACAGCTATGCATATTTTCTTCTTTGCTCTTCCTTTCTTCCCTTCTTTCCTTCACCCCTCCCTTCCTTCCTCTCTCTCTCTTCCTTTCTCTCTTTTTCTTCTACTTTCTCTCTATTCATCTACTAATTTCTTTTCTCTCTCACCTTTTCTTTCTCATTATTTTACAATAGGGATTATTGTTAGTGGTGGTTGGTCCTGGTGTTTGGAAATCAAAATTTTGTCAATAGAATCCATCCTACTTCTCCATTGCCTTTTCCCCCCATCAAAACCAGATATTTCTTATACATTGCAACTAGAAGAACAGGTAAGTTGTTGAATGGGTAGTGAGAAATGGTTAAATATTCAAACAGATGAACACAGATCAAGGTTATGAAAAGATGTGTGTGAAAGGATAGGCAAAATGAAATGACAGGGAAATTTAAGTCCATTCAACCAGAACATAGATAATAAAAATGTGAACATCATTTGGATAATTTAGGATGAATCAACAAAACAGAGATCATATAATTGTCCTACACACACTGTGTTTCTTCCCACCTTTGTTCAGGCTGTCTCCACCTAGAATGCCCTTACTGCTGCATCTCTCGGACAACACCTATTTACCCTTTAGGATTTTTCTCAGGGTTTACTTCTTCCAGGAAGTCTTCCCTGATCTCCACAAGCTGGAGGGTTTTGCCTGGCTCAGCTCTGCCTTGAGTGTTTTTCTGTCAAGTTAATCACCATCCACATGTTTGGGAGGTGGCATGTCTGAGAGGTGGGGTTGCAGAGATTCAGAACACAAGGCTGGGATTCACTAAGATACATGAGCTCAAGTGAGTGCCTTCACCTCCCTAAGTCTCAATTTGCTCATTTGGAACATGGAGATTACAACAGCCCCTTTACTCTGAGTGACTGCTGTGCCCCAGACACTACACGTTCATCTCCTCAAATCCTCACCACAACCACTGTGAAGTAGCTCTTGTTATTATTAAAGGCTTAATGATCATCTCCACCCTAACCAGGTAAGGAAACTGAGGCACAGAGAGGTTGAGTAACTTGCCCAAGGTCACTCCCAGGCTTAGTGGGAGAACCAGGATTCGAACCCTGGGAGTCTAGCTCCAGAGTCTGGACTCCTAACTGAGGCTATATTGCCTCTCATGATGACACTAATAATGGCATCATTGTAGCTCCCTCCTAGAGCTGTTGCTAGGCTCTGGAGGAAGAGCACAGGAAGTCATGCGTGTTGAGGGGGTGCCGGGAGAGTGCTTAGTGGTGCTCAGTAGGGACCAGGTATCATCACGATTGTTCTCATGTGGGGCAGGACATGGATGTTTCTCCCCAACCTAGGCCACTAGTGACCTTGCCCACTTTCTCCCAGGCCTGCTGACCAGGTAGAGGCAGGGCCGCGGTAGGGAAGCAGGAGGGACAGAGAAAGTTAGAGGGTCATCACCAGAGAGACAGGAGAACAACCCTTGTTTTGACATCATTTTCAAGTGAGCCGTGTTACTGGCTGGGAGCAGTGAGGAGAGGAGGGCCTGTACCCGATCCCCAGCTTCCTGCTGAGGAGGCTTCTGGAGGGGCTGTCTATGAGGAGAGCCAGAGAGGTCCTCCCAGAGCGCCCACCAGCAGGGGAAGCGTTAGCAGCAGGACCACAAAGTGGGGCGCCTGGGGAGTGGCGGCTGCAGAGGTGAAGAGCTCAAAGACGGAGTCCCGGTTGCAGAGGTTGCCCTTGCAGCAGAAGCCCTGGAGGTCGATGTCCGACCAGGGGCTGGTGGTACCCATGACGGTGCAGGAGGGCCGGTGGCAGGTTCTGATGTACACAGGGACTGAGAAATTGGCTGGGGGAGAGGGGAAGGGGTCACAGCTGAGGGAGCCCAGGACTATGCCTCGGTCCTCAGACTTCCTTCATGTCTCCCACCTTAGGCCAGAATCTTGCTTCCTCGATCAGACTAGGCCTAGCCTCCTCCCAGGTCAAGGCCCTGTCTCCTCCCTCAGACCAGACCCATGCCAACCCTCTCAGAAAAAGGCCATGTCTCCCGTGCCTCACCCCTCAGACCTGCCTTGCCTCCACATCCTAGCCCAGGCCCTCCCCCTGCCCAGCCCCTCACCGATGGTCATTTGGCCATTGCCCTGGAAGCAGACGCTCTCCTTCTGGTGACATTGGACCCGCCGGGACTTGTTGGGAGCACAGTCCTCCGGCGAGATCCCCACGCAGGCGTAGCACTCGGTGCCGCTGAGTAATGGCGGGTCGGGCGCTGGCAAGAGCGTAGACGCACACTCACATACGGGTCCCAGTTCGGACGTGTGGGTTGCGCACTGCAGCAGGGCGCCCGCCTGGCTGGCTGTGGGGGCTCGGAGGCCCCGCCCCGCCAGGAGCAGGCCCCTCCCAGCCCCTCATCGCCCCGCCCACGCCCGGCCCCGCCCTCCCTTGTACCTGGGCTCAGGTTGGGGATGCTGTCGTGGTTCATGATGTCAACGTTGCACAGATGGGTGGCGCAGCCGCGCACCAGCGAGAAGTCGGGCGGCAGCGAGTCTTGGTTCACCTCCATCTGGCCGTTAGGCGAGCCCGTCCAGCAGCCCTTCTTTACCAGTGTCACGGAGGAGCGATACCCTGCGGACAGGCGGGGATGGGGTCGGGCTGTTGCCTCCTCCCCAGCCCGCTTCCTCCTCCCCACCCTTCCGTCTCTCCGTCTTTACCTCTTCTCCTCAACCCTCTGGTCTCAATTTTCTCCCCTCTGCCTCTTTCTCACTAACTTCTTCCTCTGTCTCCTGTCCCTCCCTCTCTACCTTTCTAACGCCACTCTCGCTCCCACCTTCCTCTCCCTATTGTCCTCTCCCTCCCCCTTCCTCCTCTCGTTTCCTGTCTCGTCTCTTCTTCCTCGGTTCTCCTTTGTCTTCTCCCTCCCTTATCTCTGGTCCCTCTGTTCTTTTTCTCCCTTTGTTGCTGTTAGCTGCCATCTAGTGGTGGTGGGGGGAACCCACTCATGGCAACCCTGTGTGTTACAGAGTAGAACTGCTGCATAGGGTTTTCTTGGCTGTAATCTTGACGGAAGCAGATTGCCAGGCCTTTCTTCTGCGGAGCCCACTGGGTGGGTCCCAACCGCCAACCTTCAGGTTAGCAGCCGTGCGCAAACCATTTGGTTTCCTCTCATCTCTCCTCCACCTTCCCATTGCTCTGTTCTTATCCCCCTCTTGGTCTTCTACCATATTCCTCTCTAACCCCTTCTCTCTTCCCCTTCTCTCTCTCTCTCTCTCTCTCATGCATCATCCCTGTCCCTCATCCTTTCCTCTTCCTCACACCCTGCTCCGCTTGCTCACCCGTGCTGAGGGAGCTGACAGCCTCAAAGCATCTGCCGGAACAGGAGACTGTGAGGAGCTGCTTGCCGCTGAGGTCAAAGGGGCCCGAGTAGATGTGTTCAAAGCTGTAGCATTGGAGGGCTTGGGACTCTGAGGAGAGGTGCATGATGGGTTAGCAGGGGAGCAGGGTTGGGGGGGAGCCTGTCACAGGAACTCGGGGCTCCACCCTGCTAATGAGGATAACTTAGCCATTCTGTGCTGAAGGGAGCCAGGCCTGGTTGCCTTGCAAGGACCAGGGTCGGCTGCTACAGCTGGTCAAGGTTGATTCTGACCTCACGGCAGGGTGAGGTGCTCTCTGCACCTGACACTCCAGTTTCTTCTCTTCAGGCTGTTCCAGATCTCTGTCCTCTTCCTGGGAGCCTTCCAAGATTTAGGCAAGGGAGGAGGTGACTCACTCCTGCTCTGTCCACCCCTCCCCAGCTAAACTCACAACGTACATAGCCCCAGAAAAGCCCGAGTGGACATGTTGATTGACAGAACTAAAAAACCACTTATGGAAAACAAACAGAATGATCTGAAATCTTGTACCTACAAATACACATGTACAATCAGACCCACAGATACCGCACAAAGCACTTCAATGCAGACATAAACACAAAACAACAAAATTGACACAGGTTCATGCAAATTTGGCAAATGTATACAGAATGGCTTGAACACCTGTGTACAGAGTTCTACATTTACACAGGAAACAAGTACACACACAGATCCTCCAATACAAACCCTGCAAACCAGGCACAGTATCTCACACATGCAAAATCACACACACACACACACAAACATGTGTATACAGAAACAATAACCACACAGACAGACCCAGGAAACACATGAAATCATACCCACAGAGAGACAGACAAACACAGACCCAAGAATCACAGACCCACAAATAAAGAGAGAGAGACACAATTACGTAAAATTAGGGATACACAAAAATGAGACCCACAAAAACATATGCTTTACACAATAGATGCACCCTGATAGAATGGGAGAAAAATGTGGAACAGAACCTCAAATTCCTAAAAATAAAATCAGACTTACTAGACTGGTTGAGACTGGAGGACTCCCCGAGACTATTGCCCTGAGATACCCTTCAAACTCTGAATCAAAACTAACCCGAGGTCACCTTGTAGCTAAATAACAAATTGGCTCACAAAGTAACAAATTATCACCTGTGAGTACTGTGCTCCTTGAAATAATCACCTGTGTGGGACCAAATGATCAACAATTGGAGCCCTGGTGGCGCAGAAGAGTTACGACTGCTAACAGTTCGAATCCTCCAGCCGCTTCTTGGAAACCCTATGGGGCAGTTCTACTCTGTCCGATAGGGTCCCTATGAGTTAGAGTTGACTCAATGGCAAGGGGCTTGGGCTTGGTCAACAATTGCCTTAAAGCAAAAATGAGAATGTAAGGGGACAGGGAAACTAGATTAATGGAAACAGAACGATCAGAACAGAAATAATGAGAAGGTTCACGCATTGGGAAGAATGTAACCAATGTCACTGAACAACTTGTGTAGAAATTGTTGAATGGGAGTCTAAATTGCTGTGCAAGCCTTCACTGAAAGCACAATAACGTATTACATTTAAAAAACCCAAAACATGCCATTTAAAATCACATATTGATTCAACACACAGAGACGTGCAGCATAGATACGCAGAGACAAACAGACATTGAAGTGCCTGAAAACATATACACAGAAAGAAAGAAATACAAACCCACAAGTCACAGAGATGCACAAACACAGAGTAACTCAGATACGTAAAATTATACACGTTTCTTTTACAAACACAGTGAAGCTCAGAGATGACCAGACCCGCAAAAGCATTTGTTCAGACACCCAGGTGTTGAAGCCTGGTGCAGAGAAAAGCACACAAGCACAGACACCCCAAAAGACACACTGACACATGGATACACACAGAAGTCAAGCACCCTCATATGGACTAACAGTCACACGCTGTTATGGATTGAATTGTGTCCCCCAAAATATATATTGGAAATCCTAACCTCTATGCCCATGGTTATGATCTCATTTGGGAATGGGTTGTGTTTGTTATGTTAAAGAGGCGGGATTAATGTAGGGTGTATCTTGAGTCAATCTCTTTTGAGATATAAAAGAGATTAAACACAAGCTAGAAGCAGAGACTGAGGAAGAGAGATGACAAGACACAGAGATCTTGTAGAAACCAGGAAGCAGAAAGTGAAGAGACAAGGACCTTCCTCCAGAGCCGACAGAGAAAGACTTCACCTCGAGCCACTGCTCTGCATTCTGACTTCTAGCTTCCTAAACTGAGAAAATAAATTTCTGTTTGTCAAAGCCACCCACATGTGGTATTTCTCTTATAGCAGCGCCACATAACTAAGAAACATGCCAGTTCGGTTGTGTGCAGGCCTGGCCTCCTTCTCACTTCTCTCCTTCCGACTCTGTAGCCACTTCAGTTCTGTCCTGAGTGTGTCCCTGTCCTTGCTCAAAGGTGGGGTATGGGGTGTTTGCCTGAGGAGGAGACCAAGGTTCCTGCCAAAGCCAAAAAACAAAACAAAACAAAACCTGTTGCTTTCCAGTCAATTCTGACTCATAGTGACCCTATAGGACAGAGTAGAACTGCCCACAGGGTTTCCAAGGAGTGGCTGGTGCATTCGAACTGCAGACCTTTGGATAGCAGCCATAGTACTTAACCACTGGGCTACCAGGGCTCCTGCCAGTTCTGGAAACAGACCCCATAGCTTCCTAGAAGTACCCTTGAATAGGATCAGGAGCAAGGAGGATGAGGAAGGCTAAGTGGTAGAAAGAGAGGCGCCGGAGAGGATGACTGATGGGGGAAGAGCAGATGAGGGGAAAAGAAATGACGAGGACACAGTCTTCAGCCCCCTCCTCCCTCAGACCCAGAAGCCCAGGACCCCAGGTCCTTCCTCCCTGTGGATGTAGAAGTCCTGGTACCTGTCAGGCAGAGCGCAGCCCCAAAGAGGCAGAGCAGGATGCTTCTGGAGCTCCCCATCATCCGAATGCGGAGCTGAGCTTGGACACCTGCAATAGCTTCTCCTGCTCTGACTTGCTGCCAGGCTGGTTTCTCCCTGCCAAGCCCCTGGCATCCTGGCTACCCAGCCCTGCCAGGATTCCTTCACCTCTGCCCTGGCTTGGCCAGGTCTCCTCCCAGGTAATCGTGCTGGGGCCAGGAGGAGTCCTGGGTGCTGAAGGGGTCAGTGGCATAGATTCCTGTGGCCTCAGGGGGTGGGGATGGACACTGGAGTCCTTGATTTTAGGGAATTTGTGTGTCTTTGCATTCTTTCCCAGGTCAGGAGTAGGCACCCATAGCTCCTTGATTTCTCTCCTTACCCTGCATTCCCAACACACACACACACACACACAATTCTTCTGGGGGTCGAGGACACCAGTTCTTCCCCCTGCCCAGCATGGGAGTGGATACTCCCCAGGCTCACAGCCACCCACAGGAACACACTTGGATCCCAAGATAGAAAGGGCTGGGGCCTGGACTCCTGGGTCTGAGGGAGGAGGGGGCTGGGGGCCCCAACTTCTGGAACTGAGGGAGGAGGGGGCTGGGGGCTGGGACTCCTGCGTCTGAGGAAGGAGGGTGCTAGGCACTTGTGACCTTTCATTTTGGGGGGATTTGTGTTTTACAGGCTCTCTTCACACCCCCTCTCCATCCTCTTCCAGCCTGAGTTTGGCGCACATGTCCAGTTGATTTCTCTTTTCTTCTTCCATTCCAACACGCGCTACCCACACACTCAGACACACACAGCCTGCAATCCTGGGGCCATGAGTCTAGATCCAAAGACACAAACATCTCCTTCGCCATGAAGCCTTCTCCGAGGCCCACCTCTCTCACTCATCCTCTCATCTTCAGCCTCCAGAAACATCCTGTCTCCTAGCCCTAATCAGCCTGAGGTGGTCTAGTGTCTGTCCCTCCCATTAGGGGAGTTGTGAGTTCCTCAGGGGCCTCAATGGAGGTTTGCAATATTGTATGAATGAATGAATGAACAAGAGACCTGACATAGAGGCATAGGGAAAGTGAGACAAAGAGAGAGGAACAGAGTGACAGAGACAAAGGGACACAGGGAGATTGAGATCCCCAGAGATGCAGAAAGACGGACACAACCCAGTGTGGACAGATGTAAAAGCAGACACAGAGGCCAACGCAGAGGTGAAGATGGACACCCTGAACGACAAGACATGCCCACAGAAGGCACTTGATCATTTATTGAATGAATGAATTAAAAAACAACAGGGTGATGGTCATGGATTGAATTGTGTCCCCCTAAAATATCTGCCAACTTGGCTGATCCCCAGTATTGTATAATTGTGTACCATTCTGTAACCTGATGTGATTTCCTTATGTGTTGTAAATTCAATCACTATGATCTAATAAGATGGATTAGCGGCAGTTATACTGATGAGATCTACAAGATCGGATAGTGTCTTAAGCCAATCTCTTTTGAGATACAAAAGAGAGAAGCGAGCAGAGATACATGGGAACCTCATACTACCAAGAAAGCAGTGCTGGGAGCAGAGCCTGTCCTTTGGACCTGAGGTTCCTGCGCTGAGATGCTCCCAGACCAAGGGGAGACTGATTCATCATAAAGGCCTTCCTCCAGAGCCGACAGAGAAAGAAAGCCTTCCCCTGGAGGTGACGCCTCGAATTTGGACTTGTAACCTACTAGACTGTGAGAGAATAAATTTCTCTTTGTTAAAGCCATCCACTTGTGGTATTTCTGTTATAGCAGCACTAGATGACTAAGACAGTGGTAGAGACACAGGCAGGAGAGCAGAGGGAGACACACTATCCCTGGGGACACAGCCAGACCTACAGAGAGCCTCAGACACCAGGCAGATGAGGACATTCAGGCAGATGCTCCAGCAGGCGGCTAGACTTGGGGCAGTGACCCAAGACAGCATCTCCTGACCAGCCTCAATTTTCTGTGCTTGGAGGTGCCACCTGCTGGGTTCAGACCCACCCCTGAACCAAACCACATAGGGTGGGCCAAGGCTTGTACCAACAACCAAAACCCGTTGCCAAAAAGTCAGCTTTGACTCACGGTGACCTCACGTGTGTCAGAGTAGAACTGTGCTCCATAGGGTTTTCACTGAGTGATTGGAAGTAGATTGCCAGGCCTTTCTTCTGAGACGCCTCTGGGTAGGGTCAAACTTCCAGGCTTATGGTTGCCGCTGAGCGCATTAGGAGCCCTGGTGGTGCAGTAGTTAAGAGTTATGGCTGCTAACCAAAAGGTTGGCAGTTCAAATCCCCTAGCCACTCCTTGGAAACCCTATGGGGCAGTTCTACTCTGTCCTCTAGGACGCTATGAGTCAGAATCAACTCCTTGGCAATGGGTTTGGGTTTTTCTGGTTGAGCGCATCAACCATTTGCACCACCCAGGGACTCCATGCAGACAGCAGAGACTTAAAATCATGGAAACATGGATGGATGTGATGGCGTCCACACATAATGGAGGACACCAGGCCTTGTGGACACAGCCCACGGCCCTGGACTCTCTCAGGCTTAGCTGCAGTCCCTCTCATCTTGCCAAATCCCTGCACTCCCCATCAGGCCTCACTTCCTAGAACCTGTTTTGTATACAAATTACTCTTCCTGCTTCTCCTGCTTGGCTCCAGTCCTGGGAGTGCTGCCCAGCGGCAAGGTGGAGCTAAAAATTCCATTCCTGGAGAGTCATTTCTGACTCATAGCAACCCTATATGATGGAGTAGAACTGCCCCATGAGGTTTCCAAGTCTGTAATCTTTACAGGGAGCCCTGGTGGTGCAGTGGTTAAGAACTCAGCTGCTAACCAAAAGTCAGCAGTTTAAATCCACCAGTGCTCCTTGGAAACCCTATGGGATAGCTCTACTCTGTCCTATAGGTTTGCTATGACTTGGACTCGACTATCTTTAGGGAAGCAGACTGCCACATCTTTCTCAGGTGGAGCGGCTGGTGGGTTCAAATCACTGATCTTCCAGTTAGCAGTCAAGCAGTTAACCACTGCGCCACCAGAGCTCCCCAGTGACCACATATTAGGGATTTTGTCAGGAACGCCTGCATCCAGAGGGCTACAGGACACAAACTCTGAGCTTCCGGTGAACCCAGAGATTCTTTAGTAACTAAGTAATCGGTGTTCCTGGGTGGTGTAAACAGTTAATGCACTTGGCTGCTAATGAAAGGTTGGCAGTGCTGCCCACCCAGAGGCACTTTGGAACAAAGCAGGGCTTCGAACCGCTTCATTCTGGTTTGGACCCCTGCTGAGAATTTGCATTTCTAACAAGTTCCCAGGCGATGCTAATGCTGCTGGTTAGGGAACAATTCTGAGAACCGCTAGTAGAGCAGTGGTTCTCAAGATTTATACATAAGAATCACCTGGGGATCTTGTTAAAATGTAGATTCTGATTCAGTGTATCTGGAGGTGGAAATGCAAATTCTCAGCAGGGGTTCAAACCAGAATGATCTGGTTGGAAGCCCTGGAAGAAAGGCTTGGAGAGCTACTTCTGAAAAATCAGCCATTGAAAACTCGCCGGAGAGGGACAGAGTAGCTGGTGCTGGGCCTGGGGACCATAGTTTCAGGGGATATCTAGGTCAATTGGCATAAAAAAGTTTATTAGGAAAATGTTCTGCATCCCACTTTGGTGAGTGGCATCTGGGATCTTAAAAGCTTGCAAGCGGCCACCTAAGATGCATCAGTTGTTCCCAACTTACTTGGAGAAAAGGAGAATGAAGAACACCAAAGACACAAAGAAAATATTAGCCCAAGAGATAGAAAGGGCCACATAAACCAGAGACTCCATCAACCTGAGACTAGAAGAACTAGATGGTGCCTGGCTACCAGCAACGACCGCCCTGACAGGGAACACGATAGTGAGTCCCTGATGGAGCAGGAGAAAAGTGGGCTGCAGAACTAAAATCTACGTAAAGACCAGACTTAATGGTCTAACTGAGACTAGAGGAACCCCAGAAGACATGGCCCCTGGACTCTCCGTTAACCCAGAACTAAAACCATTCCTGAAGCCAACTCAACAAAGATTAGACTGAACTATGGGACTTAAAATAATATTTGTAAAGAGTGTTTCTCTTAGTTCAATCAGATACACAAGACCAAATGGGCAGCTCCTGTCTGGAGGCAGGAAGAGGAGGCAGGAAGGGTCAGGAACTGGTTAAATGGACACAAGAAACCTGGGATGGAAAGGCAAGTGTCCTGTCACATTGTAGGGATTGCAACTAATGTCACATAACAATATGTGTATACATTTTTGCATGAGAAATTAACTTGAGCTGTAAACTTCCACCAAAACACAGTTAAAAAAAAAATTTTTTTTTGTTGAAGAAATGGGGGGAAAAAGAGAAAGAAAGAAAACTCTCCGGAGCACAGTTCTACTCTGACACACATAGGGTTGCCATTAGTCAGAATTGACTCCACGGCAACTGGTTTTTTTGTTTTTGTTTTAATTCAGCAATTACTTAAGAGATTGGGGGAACCTGAGAATTTTTTGTGGTAGCCATTAAGTTTTTAAACTTTTTATTGTAGACAATTTCAAACACACGCAAAAGTAGAGAGAATAATGTATCCACCACCAAGCCTCAACAATTAGTTTCATATCTCTCATCTTGTTTTATTCTTTCTCCCTTTGGTGTTTGTAAGAGCATTGGGCATATTGAATTTGGTTCCTGCATCATTTTGCTCAAGGTATTACTTTCACTTAAAGCACCATTTAAAACTTGGTAATTTTGAAAGTGTTAACGTTGGCCCTGCTGACACCTTGATTTCAGACTTCTAGCCTCTAGAACGGTCAGAGAATATATTTCTGTTTATTAAAAGTGGTACTTTGTTATGGCAGCTCTAGAAGACTAATACACCCGGCTTCTCAAATTCTTTTCATTTATTCATTTTTTTTTAAATTTTATTTTATTGTGCTTTAGGTGAAGTTTACAGTGCAAATTAGTTTTTCATTCAAAAATGTATGCACAAATTGTTTCGTGACATTGGTTGCAATCCCTGCA